CACACAAACACACACACACACACACACACACACACACACACTCACATTGTTACAGTCACTGAAGGCCAACTCATCCTCATTGTCATCGCTCTGCACTCTTATTTTCCTTCCCGTCAAATATTGCTGTATTCATTTTCTGAAAACAATAAGTAATTTTCTTATTCATGCATCAATACAACTATACTATAATAAACACTTCAAATAAATAAATAACTGCAATCATATGATTGATGTTACTATCTATTAAAAAATCCCAATGGGGAAATACATAACTTCAGTTCCACTGTGGTACAGTGTTGCCATATGGCTACATTGATATTTTCTCAATTTACAGTAAAACTATGTTAGACAATGTTGATTTGTGAATAAAATGGTGATGTTTTGCATCCGAAACATGTAAAACAAGATGCACAGCATTGTTTCATTTGTCAGCACTGATGGAACTGTTCTGGAACATTCCACACCCTTCAAGGGCGTGCTCTATCACACTATAAAAGAGCAAACTCACCTTCTTTAAAACAAAAAACAAAAAAAAAACAAAAAAAATGCAAAATATGAAAAAAGAAAAAAAACGACAACAACACATGGATGTTGTTGTTTCAACATTGTGTAACAAAGTTATTACAACTAATAACTTTAAGGAATCAGAACATTTTAAAGAACCCTCGGCTGTTGCCCCAGGCATTTCAGCCCAGGTGCGTTATTCTGACTTTAATTTGTTTAGGATTATATTAACTTTTAACCTATTAACTGTCACGTAGAGCATATACTGTCTTTTAAAGCACAGATCTGAACATAAATGGTAATTCATGAACACTTTGGAATACAGACCTAAGAGGTTAAAAAAGTTACAGAAGTTTTTTACGCAAAATGTATATTTTTTTCAAAATTATTTGGACATTTGGAATTTAGAAAAAAAATGTAATTCTCTAATGCAAAGAATATGACAAATAGAATATTTTTGTTAGCTGTGGAAACGTCATGTCATGGGTTTGCATTTAGAAGAAGAACAGGCTGACTGACTTTGATTTCATGAGGACTTTATAGGTTTGGCCTATAGTCAGACTACACATGAGCAAACATTTATCAGCTTTTCTATGCTTTTTTTGTAATTGCTATGTTCTTATCTTGTCAAAAAAGGCCCTGGGGCAGGAGTTCATCTGACAGTAACTGTAGGGCAGCATACAGAGCTTCTAAGTCAAAGAGAAAGCAGTGTCTTGGTGCCTCGTGCTCCAGGAACTGAGTAAAATATGATGTGTTTTAAGGCTCCGATTGAGTTAGTTTGGATTACAGTGATGTTTAAACAGCATACTTATGATTTTCTTACACTCCGTATTTTGGTCTTGTTTTAAATATCCAAACATCCTTAAATCAAGATACCTTTACTACATAAACAAAAATGCCATGACTATTATGTCTTGCTTTCTGATAAATGTATCAAAATGAATTTATGTATAAAACAAGAACAAATATCTGCCAGGGAGGTCAGAAAAATTATCTTGTTTCACCTTTAAATTAAGTTTATTTCTCTTACCCCATTGGCACATATGTGTACTTGTTTTAAGCAAAAAAAATAAAAAATAAAAAAAGGCTTAATTTTAAAATGAGCTTATTGCTCATCAAGGGTTTTTACAGAAAATAATTTAATTATGATAACAGAGAGGATGTTTGAAAGAGTTAAAAAACTAGTTGTTCTCAAGGCAACAAAAATAGCTTAGCTATAGCTATAAACCTCTCTGAAACAAGTACAGGTACTATATATTTCTTTGTGTACAGTAGCTATTTTTAGGCAAAATGAACAGTTTTACTTTCTTCTTGTTTTTATCTATTCACAAGTGCAAATGGTATTGTGTTATTTTAGATAAACAGTAAATTATATATCTGACAGATTTAAATGGCGCAGTAACTTAATATTAAGCTTGATATTGTCCCCTATATATTAAGGAGCCCAAGCCTGGTGACCTCATTGAAATCTCCAGAGACTTCTATCAGCACTGGGCGCTGCATTCTGGAGAGGGCAAGGTTATTCACAAGGTCCCACCATGTGAGTTATATATATATATAATGCTTTTTATATGCATGCTGCCTATTGAGCTGAACTTGTATTGAATCTGAAACGTTCCATTGAAGTCTCATGAGTCCTGATTGTTTTACTTGTCCATGTCTTTCTCTGTAGCTGAGCATGCTGATGCCGGGGTCAGCAGTGTGAAGTCAGTACGGCACAACAAGGCCATAGTGAAGAAAGAAAAACTGCAGGATGTGGTTGGCAGCGATGACTACCGGATCCACAACGTCCTAGATAAGCAACATCCGCCACTTCCCATTCCACATATACTACAGAAAGCTGAAACCCTTGTGGGGATGGTAGTTCCATACAAACTGTTGACAGACAACTGCGAGCACTTCGTTAAGGGGTTGAGAAACGGAGTACCACAATCCCAGCAGGTACAGTTATTCGTCATGACCTTTTATATCAGAATTATACTGTACTCATAATTTGACTATATTAAACACTATATTATGTCAAAAGTATTTCAGTTATTTAGATATTAGGTGTGTCTGCCTTTCATATTAATATCACATAATATATTATAATAATTCACAAATACAACAAGTTATAACTAAACGACTAAAACATTAGGATTAAGGACACAAAGGCAACGACTTTTCACACCATGAATTAATAGAAATGCTTTCTGTTTATTCTTACAGGTGCGTAAAGCTGCGGCGGCTTCGGTTGCTGTTATTGCTGTCGTATGTTGCTGCATTTGTTTTGCTTTATATTTTAAAAGGCAAAGCAAAGTATACTCCCTGCTTGGTTTTATCTCTCTTCTTTTATTCCTTTTTGTAGTTTTTTTCCTGGTTTTCACAATAGCCTAATCACCCATCAGTTTTCAGTCTATTTAATCAATGGGATATAGTCAGACGGAGGGAACATATCAATATATGTTCCTTCTTCATTTCCATTCTACTCACTGAAGAAAAGTATTAATTGAATTTACTATTTTTTTTAAGGTAAGTGGTTGCAATCAATTTATTTTAGCATTTAGCATTATTTCTACATTTAAATAAACAAATTTAGCTGAAAGTTAGTCAACTACATTTGTTTATTTAAATGTAGCTAAAATAAATTGATTGCAACCACTTACCTTAAAAAAATTTAGTATCATTTTTTTCAGTAAGCAGAGATATATGCAGTTCTGATTTCTGTGTTCTTCTCCACTTCTCATCTGATGACTAGAAAGCAATCTCATTAAAAAACCACTCTTCACCCCCACCCCGGACTCCCTGTCTCTTCATTCCTGATCCAACAGTTGTTTTACAGTCAGTTTGCATGTGCAGTGACTACACTTAAAGGATCTGAGTAGTGATGAAGATGCTTTGATTAAAAATAATGTACTGGACATTTAACAAACATTTACAGGGAAGTAAAACAATTAAAAGCTATAATAAAAAAAGAAATGCTTGAATGTAACAATGAAGTGGGAAGATGTGAGCTACATTTTAAAAGTTATTTCAGTTAAATTTCCAAGTAAATCAATGACATATGATTTCAAGAGCTAATTCAAGAGAAGGACAGGCAAATAAAATAAAAATACAGCTGTAACATATGGAAGCATATGGGTGGCAATGCAATATGTAAAGTGGCGATGTATTTCTGTATTTAAATTGACATTTTCCCATATGTGCGACAAGCATTAAATTATATAATTTACACTTGCCATTACCTACACTATTTTTAATATGTAAATTAAAAACATATGTTAACGCTTTATACGTTGCAATGTTAAATGAAAATTTATTGATTAGACATGTTTAACATGTTCAAGCAAAAACTGTAGCAAAATTATCATTTAAATGCTGTTTTTTAGACTTAGGGGTAGGACACTTGAGATTGCATTTTCATCATAACACCGCATGATAATTGTAGCAAAATGCAGTGTAAATTTCAGAATGCATCCTGAGCCAAAGTTGCAGCAAAAGCGTGATTTAAATGTCTTTTATTTTGCTTAAATGCATTGACACTTTCACTTAAGACGTTTTAATTGTATTTACATTAAATAGCTGCGACGAATACAGTTTAAGTCAACGTGGAATTGAAAATGAATTTCAAGATGCACAATAGGTCAATATTGACTATTAACCAAACGCTTTTCACCTGCCTGAAGACCTGAATAATTTTGCTACCCTTATGCTTCCATACTGAAAGAACGAAATGTTAAAGAGGAAATTTTTCATTTTAAGTTGTGTCATCTAGTTTAAGAAGAATATGAGTTTAACGGAATGCACAGTTGATATAAAAAACTGGATGACTAGTAATTTCCTACTGCTAAATTCTGAAACAAACAAACAAACAAACAGAGGTTTTAATTATTGGACCAAAAACCTTGGCAAGTAACAACCGGTGCGTCTCAATCAGCTCCCTAGCTCCCGAGCTCGTGAATCAGTAGATCGTGTACACGAATTCCTCGAATTCCAGTGACATGATTACAGACAACATAGTAGAACGTTATCGCTAGAATTAATAAACAACAGGCAGGACCTCATTTTGATATTATTTTTTTATTATTTTTAAAGACATTGTTCTGTTACATGTTCTTATAACATTTCAGCCGAATATTAATTATAAATGTGAATTAAATGTGTTTATTGCCTGTCTAGAAAACTGTTTGTCTTTTCAAATCTTCTATCACGTCATTATATTTATCAAATTGGCTCGTGTGGTTTATGTTTTGCGCTTCAGAAATGTGATGTTATTTGCGGTAAGGGAGCATAGTGAGCGCGATGCTCCCTAGAATTTGCGATGAATTGTGGGATTTTTCAGGGAGTGAAGGTTCCAGGGTACTGGAAGGATTTCACGATTGAGACAGCCCTTAAAGGATTAGTTCACCCAAAAATGAAAATTAGCCCGTGTTTTACTCGAATCCAGTCGGAGTTATTAAAAAAATTGTCCTGGCTCTTCTAAGCTCTATCATTGCAGTCAACATGTGTTTCTGTTCCACAGTCCAAAACACGTTCAATAAAGCGCGCGCATCCGTAATAAAACGTCACTCACACGGCTCCGGGGGGTAAATAAAGGCCTCCTGTAGCGAATCCATGTGCTTTGTAAGAAAAATATCCATATTTCAAACGTAATAAACACTTCTCTCTCACTTCATCTAACTGTGGTACGAGGAAGGCTTTCTGGCGGATGATGTGGGACATATGCGTTGCGTGATTAGTGACGAATGCGGAGAGAGAACAAAACAAAAGACCGGTCATGAATTAAAGGCACAAAACGTAAAGAAAAATGTCAGAGGATTTCGATATAAGCCAAGAGGAGACTCCTTTTCCTTTGCTAAAGTAAGGAAACTTTGCTTCCTTTGCTCCTATAAACAACTTGTGAGCATATCTCAGAGGATGTCCTGCGTCATCCGCCCAAAACACCTTCCGCATACGACAGTCAGCAGAAGTGAGAGAAAAGTGTTTATTATGTTTGAAATATGGTTATTTTTCTTACAAAACACATGGATTCGCTACAGGAGGCCTTTATTCACCCCCCGGAGCCGTGTGAGACATGTTTTTATTACAGATGTGCGTGCTTTATTCAACGTCTCTTGGACTGTTGAACAGAAACACCCGCCCACTACAATAATAGCATAAACAACCACCCAATAAGGCATTACAATAATCTAACCTTGAGGTCATGAATGCATGAATTAACATTTCTGCATTTGACATTGAGAGCATAGGTCGTAATTTAGATATATTTTTGAGCTGGAAAAATGCAGTTTTACAAATGCTAGAAATGTGGCTTTCAAAGGAAAGATTGCTATCAAATAGCACACCTAGATTCCTAACTGATGACGAAGAATTAACAGAGTAGCCATCAAGTGTAAGACAGTGTTTTAGGTTATTACATGCAGGGTTTTTTTTCAGAATTTAGCAGTAGGAAATTACTAGTCATCCAGTTTTTTATATCAACTATGCATTCCGTTAGTTTTGCAAATTGGTATGTTTCATCGGGTCGCGAAGAAATATAGAGCTGAGTGTCATCAACATAACAGTGAAAGCTAACACCATGTCTCCTGATGATATCTCCCAAGGGTAGCATGTAAAGCATGAAAAGTAAGGGTCCTAGTACTGAGCCTTGGGGTACTCCATACTGCACGTGTGATTGCATCATTTGGCACATGTCTCTTACCCTTATGATTTGTGTTGCCATTTCTAGTCAGCGCTGATGTGTGAAGATGGTGAAGGTCCTGTTTAAACCACCTCATTCTCATAAACACGTGTGATTGTGCAAACCAAACATAAGGTGACAGGGTCTATTGTTAAGTCCAGCACATATTTGATTCAGTGCCCAGATAAAAACATGTCTCCAGACTGGTTTGTCCACCTGAATCTGAAACTATGGTACAGTGATGATGCTGATACAATGGTAATATAGTATATGCCACAATACTGAATGATAACCATGTTCATCTATCACAGCAACTACATTGATACAAATCACATCAAAGATTACCATGGTAATATCACTGAACTTTATAGGGCTTTTAATACATTAACCCTGGGTCATTCTAAACTCAGGTTAACATGTTTCACTGACACTGTTCATTTCTTATCCTGGGTTAAGAAAAAATCTTGGATATTCAGGTTTTGAAGTTTTATTCATTAAATATAAATTAGTCATGTGGCTTTGACTGAAAACATGATTCATTCAGGAATAAAATAAAAAGCATATGGTTTTCAACACCTGTCACAACCAGATCTAGGAGTGTGTCTCTACGTGAAAATGCAGCATCACTCCAAGAAACTATTTTCAACATTTCAGAGAAGAGCTTAAGGTTTATAAGAAGAGCAGAATCACAACCAACAGTGTTAATAGTGTTACTGGAAAAACCATGACAATTTACCTCCCTCTAAATAATCCCAAAACAAACACATTTATTCATTTAGCACATACTTTTATCCAAAATTACTTAAAAATTAGGAACATTACAAAGCAATAATCATAGTATAAAATGGCAAGTTAAACGTATAAATTAGAATAATACATAAAGCTAGAGTAGAGGTGAAATGCAGATAAGAAAACATAAGAATTATAGTAAGTGCTTTTAACGTCTTATAAACGAAAAGTCAGTTTGCTGTAAGAAGGCAAGCCTGCTGAGTTTAAGGCACTCCTTCACTTTCATTGTGATAAATTTAAAGTTAGAAGACAGAAACACTTCAAAAGGCATACTTTTTTCAACTCATTTCTTTAGATGCAAATAAACATGTTGCTACGAGGTAAACATAATTAAGAAAGCAAACATTTCTGCAACACTGATATCATGGAGACGGAGCAAACTCTGTATCCAGATGATTTCCTGGAAGCCAAACCACTCAACAGCTATTTTAGTGCTGCTGTCACACTCTCAAACTGTTGTTTTACATATATACAGTATGCAAACAAGCACAGCCAGTATCTACTGGAATGGGGAAAGATGAGAATGTCCAAAACCGTTTGTCAAAATTACCCTTCAGCAACATTTCAAATCAGCACTAAAATCTGACAATAATGATTTCATACATTTAGCTTCTTTTATAATATGTGAATAAAAACAAAAAAGGCGATTTTCTCTTTGAACTGTAAAAGCGCTTCATTCCTACAGCACTGAGTGTGAGGATTTTTCTCCTCTTGCCTCTGTTTACTGCTATTCCACCAATTCTAGTTTGACAAAAACACATCATTTAGGATTTAAACGACAGAATTTTCTGAATGAGTAAATGACATTTTATGCGTGATTCTAAATGAGGCTAGAAAAATCAGACCTTTATTAAAAATAAGCATTGCATTGTCTTACAAAATAGCAGAAAGTACACAGAATATAATGCAAATGAATTGAGTAAAGTTCTTTAATTCAGGCTGAACAAAGTTGAGCGCTGCATGCTTTTATTAAGAATATATTTAAGAATAATATTTAAATGTGTTTTGTACGTTGTGTAAGTACATTGTACG